AATATATTAAACTGTAGTTTATATCAATCAATATCTATAAACTCATGCTTGAGTTCTCTAAAAAGATTTAAGTAAATGCGATGAAAAATATGGTAATGCTGTTAGTGTCAGGATGAAATTACTCATCTGAATTAACTTAAATTTGGCACATTTAGTTTAATTAATTATGGTGGTCCTGTTTTGTCAACAAAAGCATGCAACATGCATAAAAGTAACCAACATTGCATGTGGATGATTAATATTACAGCTGCAATTTGAAAACACATTAAGTTTTGAGAAGTCACTATTAGAGTATTAGTCCCTACTCCCATTAATTAGTTTTAACTTTAAAAACACTAATTCTAATAAATATCTTCAAAAACCAACATTTTGATTTAGTTTTTTTATTAGTGTAGATTATATATGTCAATTTTTAAGTTAATTTAACATTTATAACTATTCAATTAAGAAATTTGTATTTTCCAACTTATGTTTAATGCTATTAAATTTTATATAATCAATAAATTAATTAGATATATTTTCAATCAATTTAAAAATTAATATACATGATATATATCAATAAAAAACTAAATCCAACAATTTAATTAGTTTTTGAAAATATTCATTAAAGTGCAGTGCTTTTAAAATTGGGACATCTAGACAAAACTATGCTAATATTAACACTCTTTAGTTATTTCATAAACACTAATTGGTAAATCATTTAATTTAATATATTATATAATATAATTACATTGTTTAATTCAATATATTATATAATATAATTATTTAAAAAATTTTAATATAAAATTAAAATAAACAAATTAAAAATATAATTATATATACAATATGTAAAAAACTAATTGAATTACTTATATTTATTTTTATTTTAATAATTAAATTAGATAAATATTAAAAGAAACGTTGAACGAAAGAAAATAGGCAATCATTTTCCTTATTTCATTGATGGCCGAACCAAGTCCTACGTACTTTTCTCATATAATATTTACACTTTTTCTGGTAAAGTTTTGGGATAATTAGGTTTGTCAGTTTTATCACACGCGTGAGACAGCCCATGTGAAGATAGCCCATGTGAAGATAAAAGCTTATTAATAATTCTTCTACTAATTTAATCAGTTGAAAATTAACACAGGCAAAATCATGGAAGAGCACACCTAATTTTTTTTGTTATATTAAAATTAACACAGGCAAAATCATGGAAGAGCACACCTAATTTTTTTTGTTATATTAACTGCTTTTTACTAACGACCTGCTGATTTAAGTGGAAGAAATTCGATTTTTTATAGATAAAATTTCAAATTTTAATTTTGTGAATTGAAAAATAAGTGTTGAGAAAGTTTTCCCCTATATGAGGTCTAACTGGACTCAATTCCGAATTAATCAAGATTCAATGTGATTTCTGAATACCGAAGGTTTAATACAAAAAAAAATATTAATGACCTTTTATAATTTATTAGAATCATAAACACATGATTTTATCATGTTCTAGATCCTTCCCCCTCAATTAAAGAAGATGATTTTCATCCATTTGAAATAAAATTTTATTTAAGAAAAGGAAATTGGAGAGATAAAAATTATTTAATTTGAAAACTTAACTGCAAGAGATTTAGTGCCCGTTTGTTTTGAAGGAGTTGATACAAGTGTTTAGATAAGACTTTTTGTTAGTTGTTAGAAATTAGCTAACAGTTGTTAAACTCTTCAATAGCTGCATTTTTTAAAAGTCACGACAAGCAGCTATTGGACCTAAAAGCATTTGAGGATTTTCATTTTTTATTTATTCAGTTACTTATATACCTTTATATTTAAACCTTCAACATCCTTCCAACAGATTCCCAGGCTGTTTTGATTTCTCTTCTTAGTAGGACTAATATTAATTTAACTAAATTTAACTAATTTTGAATAAAAAAAACTAATTTAATTAATATTAAATATATCATTAATGATAAATTAACATTCTATTAGAAACAATTAGCAACTCTATTATCAAATACTAATTATAAATAACAACCGTTATTAACTATTAATTATCAGTTATCGATTATCAGATATCAATTATATGCTAAATTTTAATTATTAATCCAAATGAACCCTTATTCTAGAATCAATAGTTCAAAAAATAACTTTTTAAAAAGATATAATTAGATTCTTTTCAAAAAAATAATATCTGGTTCATCTTTAGATTATTATAGATATCATAGACACTGATTTCTAATTCTGCTTTACAGCCCTTAACTATTTAATCATAC